CATGTGGTCATGTAGTGATGTTAACATGTGATCATGTAGTGGTGTTAACATGTTAACATGTGGTCATGTAGTGATGTTAACATGTGATCATGTAGTGGTGTTAACATGTTAACATGTGATCATGTAGTGGTGTTAACATGTTAACATGTGATCATGTAGTGGTGTTAACATGTGATCATGGTGTTAACATGTGATCATGGTGTTAGCATGTGATCATGTAGTGATGGTGCAGAGCCTGCAGCTGTCAGTGTGATGCTTTGTTCAGACTCTATCTGACCTCCAGCCTGAGCACCGCCTGTGTCCGCTGATCACTCACCGCCATCAGGGTGCTGTTCCGGCTCTGCTCCGCCGCGGTCCCTCCGCTCTCCGCGAGCTCCGCGCTGCCTCCTCCGCCGCCTCCCGGCGCCCTCTGGCCGGCCTGCTCTCCGCTGGGCTGGGGCTGCCGGTGCTTGTTGGACCTCTTGGCTTTGGCCTGCAGGCAGCGCTGGTGCAGGGCGAAGGTCTGCTGTCTGTCCAGCTCCCGCCGCTCCAGCGTCGCGTTCTCGTAGCGGTTCTCGCAGCTGTTGTGATGCTGCCGGAAGAGTTCGATCCTCCGGCGGAGCCTCTCCATCACCGCGCTGTGTCGCGGTGTAACAAAATCCGCCATCATCAATACAGACTTGTAGTAAACTCCGGCTCAGGTTTCGTCCATAAAAAGCTGAATTTGGCTCTTTTCACAGTGGGCGTCTATACACCCCCCCTCGCCCTCTACAAAGACTCCTGTGCTGGCTCCATGGAGGCGACCTTTGTCTTGCTAATGGCTTCGGTCACAGCGGCACTCACTGCCGGGGAGGAAAACGAAGGTTTTTGGGTGCAACACCATTCAGCCTCCTGATTAATCTCAGTTAAAGCCAATGAAAACTACGGAGCTCATCGGTGCAGCAGCTCGTTTAAGTGTCTGTGACCCCGAGCTGCTGGAGTCCTGCTGCGGACTTAACCCCCGAATCTAACTCACACCTTCCCGTGGTCATCCCCGAGCTACGAGCACCGATCCAACTCTCCCACATTCAAATGTGCAGATATGAAGCCGCGGCGCTGTGTCGCCCGCAGACTGCGTCCTGTGAGGCTAAGTTCAGTTAGCACATTCCAACACTCAAATCAAAGTTGAAGCGTCGAAAATTCCTTTAAAACGACGAGCTGCCGCTTCTACCTGCTGGTTCCCGAGCTAGCGGACATTAGCGGCTGCTCTGCCCGCAGGTAGTGGTCGATGGACGGCTACGGTCCGTGGAAGCGTCGCCGCGACTCTACAACTTGTCTCAAACTTTATTTAACTCGAGTATTTAGCTCGGCTGTGTGTAGCCAGCAGGAGCTAACGTGCTAACGCTTCTTCACTAACTTGGCAGCGAGTCCTTCGTTATCAAGCAGATCCCGTTCTACCCGGTTTTTACACCTAACACACGATCACACACAAGAACAAGCGCCGCGTGTGTCCACACAGCGAAACGTAGTAAAGTTTGAAATCCACTTACTGTGAAAGCGAAGCTGCGGCTCTTCCTACAGCATCTGTCTAACAGCTGATCCTCCGCCTCCGTGTAGCCGTTAGCCGCTAGCTGCTAACGCTGTGTTCGGGGGAACGGTAGCTCGACTAGCATCAAACATTTAAATGAAGCGCCATTCTCTCATCGTGTTTGTCCCGAGCTGAAGGATAAGCCTCCCCGGGGCCGAGGCGGGTGTGCGCGGCAGCGAGGCGGAGGCTGCTCGGTGAGCAGCAGCTAAGCAGCAGCTAACTGTGCCTCTGCTGCTTCTATTGTTTTCCAGCGGACCTGCAGCTCCACGCCGCCATCTTGGAAACTTTCTTTTTTTTTTTTCCACCAGCGACAGGAGGAATGTCCCAGAGCCCGCCCCCCCCAGTGATTGACAGCACGGACAGCCAACAGGGAGCGGTCGCAGCGTTGAGAGACAAAGAGTAGACCAATCAGAGCCGAGAACCCGCCTTGACGTCATAGAAGGAGCCCAGTTTATATTTTTCCTTTAAAAATGAGAATAAAGATTTATCTTCGTACAAAGTGATGACGTCACTTTAAAGATTGATTTAAAATGACAAACTTTAACAAGAAAATCTAGTTTTCAGTGAGATACAATAAGAACTTTGTTTTCAGCCTATTTGAACATAATTGACTAAATTAATTTGACTCAGCAGCTCTGGTTTATTTTGTACCTTTACATTAACTGATGATTACCAATAAACACTCTGAGGGAAACTTAAAAACGTGAATATTCTCAGGTCAATTCTGCAGTTATGATAATCTTCAATCATTATCAACTGGGTAAAGCAGCTCTGATATACTTGTACCAGCTGGTGTTATTTTCACTTTCGAAGCATCTGGAAATTATTTTCCATCAGTGATAAAATAATCAGAATATCATGTAAAAGTCTCGTCAATATTCCTGGAACAGTCGAAGTTCGCAAAAATGTTGAGTTCACTGACAGAAAAAGCTGAGGCGAACAAATACTTATGACAAAAGTTTTTTGGCAGCTTCGTTTTAAAACTTTGCAATTCATATTTTAATTTAACAATCAATATCTGTCAAACTGATCATGTCACAACCCAACTGATGCAATCGATATATTTGTCAAATACAAACATATTTCATACACTCAAAAAAATATAACTAATTTTACAAAAAATATAAACTGCTCAGAAACACGAAGGTTACTCTTAAATCAAACATCATCTCTAACCCACTGAGGACTAAACTCAAATCTCACACTGATCCAACCTGAGAGAATTTCATCAACTCATGTGACTCAGTGGTTCTCTGGTGAAAGGAGCTGCTCCCTGCTGGACTGTGACTCAGGTCCCACTGGAGGACGTCATGTCTCCTCACGGAGTCTGTTTCTGACAGTTTGCTCAGAAACACACCAGTCACCTGCTGGAGGTCATTTTGTAGAGCAGTGCTCCTCCTGCTCCTCCTCACACAAAGGAGCAGATACCTGCTGCTGGGTTGATGCTCTTCTACTGTAACGTCTCCTGGTGTAACGTCTCCTGGTGTCTCCTCCAGGCTCTGGAGACTGTGCTGGAGACACAAACCTTGTGACCACAAGCATGGATGTGTCCTCCTGGAGGAGCTGGATTACCTGATGGTGCTGCAGGTAGCGCCTCCTGCTACCAGTAGTGACGAGGACACGAGCAGAACACAGAACTAGAATGAGTCAGGAAGGACGAGGAGAGAGCAGCTGTCTGTGGACACCACATTAAAAAAACATTCCCTCATTTGGGCTCATTTGATTTGGTCTCCACTGAACCTGTTGTGACTTTGATTTTTCACATTGATATCTGAAGTTTAACTTTATATTTTTATTACTTTAGTAACTAGACCTCAAAGGAACCTAATTATTTTGCCATTGCATCATATGAACAGCACTGTTTCTGAATATTACCATATTACACTCATCTGTTTTGACAAACTATCCGTCTTACAAAATGAATATTTCCCTGTCGAAGATCTTTCAGTCGGCACCATCGAGTCTCTCAGTGGTGCAAGTTGGATCAAATTCTTCTGTTGTGAACACAATTCTGTTAAAAACCCCCTCAGACAGTAGGATTTTAAAATCAGTCAACGAGTCCACTGAGAATCTGAAAATCATCTGGATCAGCATTAGGTTCAAAGACACTGGGAGAAATAAACACTGCAGCTTTTCATTTAGTTTCCATTTTGGCCTTTTTATTCATCAAAACAAATGTTGACTTCACGTCCACACACGCACCAGGCTCCGTCATCACAGCATTTCTACTCCAGGCTTGACCTTCCTGTGCTGCGGCGGCACAGGGTGCTCATCAGAAACACGCTGGGCCGACCAAATAGTTTAAACACAAAGTCAACAAAACAATAAAAAGTTAATAGTTACAGAGTCACGTTAAGTCTCACCAGCAGATACAGTGTTCAGTCTATACAGTCTGTTAGCTATAGGCAGCCTCAGCTGGACACGACCAGAGAAAACTAAGAGTCGGACACATCAGGAAGAAGAGGAGGGTGGCAGACGATGAATAGTGGCTGAAACATACATGATGGGAATGTAACGCTGCGTCAGATTCATCTTAAAACCATTCACAGCACAGGGAGAAAAATAAAGAGGGAAATCAACAGTTCACAGCGAAAACGTAAACCACTGCAGCGCGTTGACCCACGGAGGAAGAGGAAGATCAAATGAAGGTCACCTGGACATAGCGCAGGGAACTCCGGGTCACCTCAAGGCCCCAAACACGAATTAAGCAACAACCAGAAACACAAACACCTCAGACGTTTAAAAGTAACTCCAGACTAGTCTTTAACCAATCAAATGTTTCAATCCAACAGGAAATAGACGGAAGACCCGATGTGACGTTTAGTCGAGTGTAACTGACGAGACGGACACATCAACAGTCATGAGACGTAGTTTTCTTTTCCACACACTAACTGGTTCAATATTTTAAAGATTTAAAAGTCTGCAAACCGACGCCGTGTCGTTCTGGCTCAGTCACACTCATGTGATCTCATGTGCTCCTCTGCTTTTTACTTCATCACAAACCTTCAGTTTCACAATGAACAAACAAGACCACAGTTCAGGAGTCTGAGCTCCTGCTGCAGCTTCACACACAACGTTCATGGAATAATTAGTGTTTTTTATGCCCTGAAAATGAATAGATTTGTCCCGATGGTGGCGCCAGAGGAAAGGTCAAGAGGTCAACACAACCATTCAGTATTTACCATTATGTTGTAGTCAGCAGTTTTTTTTAAGAGTTAAATAATGTAGTTGCTTTACTGAGCATAAAACTAGAAGCCTTTTCTCAGCGAGACGTCGAGATTGTGTCTACAGCGTCCAGCAGGGGGCGGCAGCAGCAGATGATAGGTAGAATCTTAAAAGGTTCTGGTTGAAATAGCAAAGCGGTGCTACTCATGAGTATTTTCACTGTCGATGAATCTGCCATTTACTTTAGATAAAGTCTGAAAACGTTTACGATGGTTTGAGTAAGAGCTGGAACATCTTAAGGTTCAGGTTATTTTAAAAAACCACTGAAACACACATTTAACAGCAGAAGATAGTTTGTTAGAAGAAACAAAAAATGATCCTCAACTGAGAGATTCAGTTTTGTCTCAACTCAACATTTTGCTTCATCTCACGTCTTCATCCGCAGAGTAATGAAGCTGAATGGAGACGGCTCAAAGTCGTGACAACAGACAGACGGGGATGTGACTGACAGGAGTTTTAGCTCAGATATTTTGTCTTGAATTTTTGATGGTTAAGAATGAATTTCGCGCTCAAGTGCCGTCTCTTTAACATGGGGCTAAAACCAGCGGAGGTTTGGGGACATGTTGTCGTGCAGCAGGTGGACGGGTGAGAGGTTAAGCGCTGGAGTTTTTCCCCTTTAGTGCCTTTTTCTTTTCATTTGGGGTTGATGAAAGAGGGACTGGGAGTTTGTCCATCTGCCGACACCAGTTTGCCAAACTGTAGTTTTACTGCAGACCTGTCTGTTGGATCTTCTTCATCGCACATGCTGATGTGAAACAGATTCAGTTTTTCCTCGTCACATCGACACCATGCGTCTGAATGTTGGTTTTCAATCCAGGTAGTGAAACATCTGCGGTCACTGTTTGGACTCAAATTAAAATGGGGGAAAAAAGATGGAGTTGCGGGTCATCTGCTGCCGCCGGTAGGACATATGCTGACTCAACGGTTTTGACTGAAAACGATGCAGCGCATCTGAGGAGATCGATCTGTGACTGTGACTCCAGGCGACACGACACCAAACACCTGTAACTGACATCAGTCCTGATCACAACACAAGTGCCCGACCTCTGACCTTCTCCGCTGCCACCAGGACAAAGACACGTCGAAAAACACTGAGGGGACAAAACATCCACGAACGTCTGAGACAATAACATGACGAGAAGAAAAAACTGTTCATGTCAGCTGGAGTGTACTCATTTCATTTCAGGAACCATTAGCATGCTGCTGCTGCAGCTGATTGAAAAGTAATGAGTGGGATGCTAACAGGCTAATTTCCAGAGTCTTGGAAGAAGAAGAAGAAGAAGTTGCAGTTATTAACGTTATCTGTGGACTTGTTAGCAGCCTGATCAGCTGATTAGAGGGATGATGGTCAGCTACGATAAACTGTCACTAATGAGTAGCTCATGGGCTAATTAGCGAGACCTTTCAGGCTCCTGTCCTGATCATGTGTTGACAGCCCTGACTGCTGGGTGGTTCAAATTCTGAACGTTAGCTGATAACGTGTGTTGCTAAGAAGCTGCTGGACAGTGGTTAGAAAGTTAAAAGACAAGTTCTGTGGCTAATTAGCTGGAAGGCTAACGTGCAGAGACTTCTGGTTGTTGGCTAACTGTTAACCTGTTAGCCTGATTAGCACCCTGATACATTGGCATTTTATCTGCCTGTCAGCAGACTAATCAGTTAACTGTAGATTATTGATCAGGTGTTTTGGTTCAGACTTCCTGTCGTTATATTCTGACTGGTTGATTTTCAGTGGGTTAGTTAATCCTAACGCTAACAGCTTCGTTATTAGACCAAACAGGTTGACGTCAGACCTGAGGTTTGACTTCACTGTTTAATTAGAGTCAGTTACCTACGTTAACTAAGAGGACTGCTCAGCAAACTGTCAACAGGGTTTTAACAGGCTGTTGGGAGGGCGGGGCTTTTGCCAGCTCATTGGAGGCGGCGGGCGGCAGCTCAGCAGATGGGAAGAGGAGACGCTGGCGTCGTGGGTTTGAGTCTGCTCAGGTGTTAAGGAATGATGCAGGTTTTCGTTAATCTTAGTTAATCTCCTTTAATCAAACTAACTCAGTCCTGCTCACACTGGAATCATCATCAGGCGTCCATTTCTTGATTAGTTTCCGGTCGGCTTCACTGCTTCCTCGGGATCCATTCAGGCTTCATCACCTCGGAGCGGAGGAGGGGGGATGGGAGTTTTAGGGGGAGACGGTGGGGGGGAGGAGTCGAGGTCAGGGCTTTGGATTCAGAGATTTCAGTCTTTTCTGACCTTCTTGTTCCTGGGAGATCTCCGCAGAACATCCTCCTCCAACTTCTACAGAGGAAACAAAGACGGTCACTTAACTAGATCTCACTTCAAGTTTTATATGAACTACTCAAATGTCACTTCAAATGTCATCGATACTCGTCTGACTGAAGCTGAACTTCAAGTGAAAATGTTTGTTCCATGCAGCAGCAGAAACCTGGTCCATCACTTCAGGTTCAAATCATCGTATCTCAGTTCTAACAACTGACGTGCGGCTGCTCGTCTCCTCACCTCATCTCCTGTGGCCTCCTGATCTTCATCATTCTCTGCCTCCTCTTCCTCTGCCGGACTTTCCTCTTTGTCGCTCTTCTCCTCTGCAGCTGAAATAAGCAGAATCCGTCAGCTCCACAGACAGGAAGCAGGACAAGATTTCTGAAAACTCAAGTGTCACACCAACCTGGACTGCTCTCCTCTGCCTCTTCAGCTTTCTCTTCCTTCTCCTCCTTCTCTTCCTCCTCTTCTTCCTCCTCCTTCACATCGGGCTGAGGTTCATCTGTCTTCTTGTACTCTGCTGGCGTCGCCGCACTCTTCTTCTGCAGAATTAACAGGAAATCAGTTTACTTCAACTTTACAAACAGAAATCTGCAGCACAAAGACAAAACAGAGAAACATATTTATCCTAAATGCACATGAACGCAGCACGGTGAAGCTCCACCAGCAGTGTCGTCAGTCACGCGTGTCAGACTCCATGCCATCGTCCGGACTCAGAGGAGGAGGTCCTGTACGACTCTGATGGTCCTCGACCAGTTTAAAGAGCATTCAGGTTCAGTTTGTGCTGTTAAAACTTTGTGATTCTCCTTGTTTACAGGGAACAGTGAGTTCAGTTTTTAATATCTAGCAGACTGAAGAACAAACCTGTTTCACCGTCACATCAAACTATGAAAGATAAAGAGAAGCACGACTGACGATGAGAATTAATTCACCGGGTGAATTAATCTATTGACGTATATTTGTGTCACTTGAACAACAGATCCTTAACAAAATATTTAATTATCATGAGAGATGAGCTGGACCTGTTTATTCACTGTTCACGTTGAGAATC